GAGCCCAGCAGGTCGAGGCTGTAGTGGCTGGGAGCGTGCCACTGCACTCCAGTCTGGGCAACAGAGTGAGACTCCAACAAAAAAAAAAAAAAAAAAAGATTGCCCTCCAGAATGTGGGTGGGCCTAGTCCAACCAGATAAAGGTCTGTATAGAACAGAAAGATCAGCCACCCTCAGCAAGGGAGAATTCTCCAGCAAACTGTCTTCAGTTTTCATCTGTACTATCAGTTATTCTGGGTCTCTAATCTGCAGGCCTTTGGAAGGAACTAGAATACTGACTCTCCTTGGTCTATGCCTTTTATTCTTTAGACTAGAAATGTACCGTCCCCTTCTTGGGTCTTGTGCCTGCCAGTCCACACTGCAGATATGGACCTACTAACCTCCATAATCATGTGAGCAAATTCCTTATAACAAATCTTTATATATATGTGTAAATGTATACATATATATACACACACATACACACATACATTCATACTATTTGTTCTGTTTCTCTGGAAAACCATAACACACCCAGTATTATCTATTCCAACCTGAACATTATACTCCTAAACTTCACATGCTTTTCAAAGGCAAAGAAGTCTGTCAGACACAGAGCAGGTGACTTGGAACCTTGCTAAATAATTCAGCTTTCTGTTCAGTTTTGAACAGGTAACCTAAAACTAGAGATTCTAATCTTCCACTCTTGTTAACTTATACAGTATTTGGTAGACATACTGGGAATTTAACTCTCAGAACTTAAAAGGTCTAGTAGCTGTTGACCCTATTCATCTAATTGTATTTTACTTATTAGACTAAATTAGTTGTGGGTTGTTAAAACAATCAACCAAATAAATTAATGGAGTTTTTACTTTGGGTAAGTCTAGGAGCTACGTACTTTAGGACATTTGTTTTCAATGTGCTTACAATCACATAAAGATGGAAACAATATCTGAGAATGTAAGTGATAAAGCGAGATAAATTCCTTCTACAAATACAGACAACAAATAGAGACAAATATGAGGAAGAGTTGCAGAAGGAAGAAAAGACTAGTTCTGGTCTTGGAAAGCCCTAGGAACAAGGTAAAAGTGAGTAGGACTCAGAAGTGACTTGTCCATGTGGAAAGTCAAAGAAGGGGAGAGCAGCCCAAATAAAGAAAAAGTTTTTAAAAACGTGGTGGCCAGGCTGGGAAAAGACAAAAGTGTCCATAGAAAAGTGAACAGAAATCACTGATACTAAGGGTAAATGGTCCAGGAGGGCATAGGTATCCATTCATTAGCAAATATCAAAAAAATCAAGACAATCTCTTGTTACCATCTTGACGAATGAGATGCCATCTGAGCCTGGAGTTCTTTTTTTACTCTGGCAAAATCAATCATAGTTTATCAACATCAAAAGTGAAACTCATACTGGACTACCTTAAACTATAAGCGTATTTAATTTTTTTTCTAACGCCACAAGTCATGCTGTTCCACCACAACAACCCATATCAAGAGGTAAAATCTGCCCCACAGATTCTGAAGTCAGACAACCTGAGTTCAATCCTGGCTCCTAGAATTGGCAGATCCTAAGTTGAATTCTCTTTTCCTCTCCTTTAAATAGGATAACATCACCAACTAAGACACAGGCATTGTAAAGATTAAATGAGCTAATCCACATAAAGCGCTCTGCACAATAACAGATGAGTAAGTATCGGTCACTAATAGTACTGCAGTGTTCGATGTTAAAGTTGAAAGAAACTATCTTCTATTTTTTGTGACCCTGCATAAATCATGCATAGTTTCTGAGAGCAATAATCTATCTCTTTCGGGAAAAGAAAAAAAAACATACCTCTAACCATAGGTATATTTCCTGTGGTTTGAAGTAGATACACCATGGTTTGCTCCAAAAATCAACTCTGAAAAAGCCCAAAATGAACTCTGTGCAGAGAACTCAGATTCGCAGTGAAATTACTGGCACTCCCACATACCCCTCTTCCCCCTCATTTCTAGGCTCTGAGAAAAAAGGAAAAAAAAAAAGATAATCCAGTATTTCACAGACCTAGAATCTAAAACAGAAGAAAATCACTAAGAAACAATCATTCAAATACCAAAAGCCTATCATGGAGTTTTTCTTGAGCTCTACTATGTACAAGAACTGGCAATATTTAAAGAGCCTGAAACAGACCCTTGACATCAAAAGGTACAAATAGGTAGAGATTCCGCCTCTGTCCGTTTCTTAGGTTATAATGTTAACATTAAGCCTTTTACAATCCAAATTGGAACTGCATAGCCAGAGCACAAAAAGAGGCACAGCTGTGAAAGGGCACATTTAAAACAAAAAAGAAAGAAAGAAACAAGCTTCTTTTACCCCCCAAAGCAAAACTCTGCTTTTGACTTAGTTTGAACAACTTGTATAAGAAAAAAAAGTTCCCAACTGCAATCAGAAGTCAGTCACACACACATGTATATGTGACTTCCTTCTTTTAGGTGACTCACAGTCGCTCTGGCATACTGTCTGGGACATATAAAGCTTGCACTTCTTAATGGGACACCATACTGAAAGTTGCCTCTTTCCTCATTTTTTTTTTTTTGAGTGCAGTGGCATGCTCACAGCCACCCCAGTGTCAACCTGTTGGGCTCAGGTGATACTTCCGCCTCAGTCTTCCAAGTAGCCAGAATGATAGGCATGCACTATCATGCCCGACTAATTTTTGATTTATTGTAGAGATGAGGATTTGCCAAGTTGCCCAGGCTGTTCTTGAACCCATGGGCTCAGGCAATCCCCTTACCTCAGCCTCCCAAAGTGTTGGGATTACAGGCTTGAGTCACCTTGCCCGGCCTTCTTTCCTCTTTCCACCACAGGTGCATGCCACCATGCCTGGCTAATTTTTTTATTTATTCCGAAACAAGACTGACTACATGTTTTGGAAGAACATGCCTATATTTCCTACTTATATCATCATTTTCCATCTCAGTTTGTCTTAGACATTAAGCTGTAGTTTGCATGCAAAGTCATTCTGTTTTTCAAAAGTTCTATGATTTAAGATGCTAAACCACAAAGAAGTACCTTTTTCCCCAGGGATCACATTGTATATACCTCCCTTGTAAGCATCTTGCAAGTATTTCATGGTATGGTTACAAAAGTTATTGTATCTACATAATAATGAATAATAAGGACAGGCATTCATTACACAAAGTTATCAGAGAAATTTTCATGTTTTCTCTTAAGACTCATTAGTATGTTTTTAGGTTTAAATTCATCAACTGACATTTTTTTAAACGTATGATGAGAAAAAGAAATCTAACTTTTCCAAGTGAATGTATGATTATTCTAAACACTAAGTAAACCATCCTTTTACTACTAATTTGAAATGCCATCTTTAAAATACATGCACATACATACATATACTATGTCTGTTTCTGTAATTTCTAGTCTGTTTAATCTACTTGTCCATTCCTGTATCAATACCATGCTGTTTTTAAAATTGTATCTTTATATTATATTTTGCCATAATCATTTTCTTTAAAATAGTAAATTGCTATTGTACCTCATTTTATTATTTAGAATCAATTTGTCCAGTTTCTCCCTCTAACCTAATTCCCCAGAAAACAAATACTATTGTGATTTTGATTAGATGCCACTGACATTTAATTTATAAACAAAAAATTAAGGCTATGAATTTTCTAAAATGCATACTTACTAACATGCAATATTCTCAAAGTTGTTTACTGATTTGTTATCCATTTTTAGATTTATAAAATTTTTCAAAAAATAACATTTATTAGTTCAGAGTAGTCTGTTTATGAATCTGTACAGCAAAATCACACCTATTCATTATGTAATTCAAATCTTTTATATTCTTTTTTTTGGAGTCAGAGTCTTACTCTGTCACTCAGGCTGGAGGGCAGCGGCATGCTCACGACCATGGCAGCCTCGACCTGTGGGGCTCAGATGATTCTTCTGCCTTGGGCTTCCAAGTAGCTAGAACCACAGGTGCATGCCACCATGCCTGGCTAATTTTTTGATTTATTGTAGAGACAAGGTCTTGCCAAGATGTCTGGGCTGGTCTCAAATCCCTGGGCTGAGGCAATCCTCTACCTCTCAATGTGCTGGTTTTACAGGCATGAGCTGCCATGTTCAGCTCTGTATTCTTACTTTAAAAATAACAATTTTTGGAAATGTTTATACTAACACTACTCACTGTGGGTATGGTTTTGTTAAATTGTATTTCTACTTACAACAGTTTGGGAATGATATGTTTTTGTGCAATGTTGTTTGACATAAAAATACCTTGTTAACATTTCTTCTGGATATTATTTGTCAATATAAAATGGCCTTTTGACCCGTGTAGAGCATCATCACAGAGACTGATAGGGTGAGCCTTACTTGCACTGTTTGTTCTGCCTGCTGGAACCAAACTTAATCCTTTATTTCCAGCCTTGATTAGAATGTGTCTTTAAAACAGGAGGCAACTATGTTTGCATTTAGTGTGAGCTGTGAGTAGTTGACTTTTATTAAGAGAAAATAATACTTCTTTCATAGCTATTATGAAACTATGTTTAGCATAATACTGAAAAATCATTTTACTTTTCCTGTTTATGATACTTTTATTGTATTGTCTTAGTGCTCCCTTTTTGTTCTCATGCCTGTAGTTCTCATGACTGTATCAAGTTTGTTTTTACTTTTTTTTTTCTATTTTGTAGCCCTTTACAGCATTTCACAACTCAGGAAATATTTTGCATATCTGTCAAACTGCTAAGCTCATCAATTTTTGGTCCCTCTTATTATGCAAGTGAATAGAAAATTACCCTAATATCTCTCTTTTTATGTCTGTCTGATCAAAAATAATCACAAAATATACTCCACTTGGGGTACTAACAATGTCACCTTAAAATAAGACCACTTTGGAATTTTATGAACCATATTAACTATTATGAGCCAGGAAAAGACAGGACAAGTAACTTCATATTAAATTAGTAAGAAGTTAGTTCCATTTATCTTTCCAACATCTCTGCATCCTGCAAAAGACAAAGCTCTTACCGTTTCTTTTGGAATCTGCATCTGGCTTGGCTCTGCATTCTAGAAGAATTGAAGAAAAACATAAATACAGACTGACCAAAGCCATCTTCAACACACAGGGACACAATGCTTTATTTTAAAGGAAATTTTTTTGATTCTTAAAATCCATAATATATATATAAAGGATGATTATATTATATTATGGCTGATATATTAGTCTTCCAAACTTTTATTGATGTGTGTGTGTTTTAAGAACTTTTTCTAGATGGAAATTTTTACCTGCTCAGTCACAATCAATCATGAACTTATTACTTGGAGGAAAACAAATCTCACCAAACCACTTTCATGGTACTGTCTCTAATTTTTATTTTTTAATTTTCCCAATCAAACCTAAGTTTTAAGGTATAGGATCACTTGATAGCTGGACCAGATAATAACAGTCTGAACCACTGTCTTAACCACAAGCTTTCTACTTTAAAATATTACACAGAGAATAAATGTGTGCTTTTTTTTCAGGTAATGTAGAGTTGCTTTAATTACAAAGGTGCTTACAAAATAGATTTATTACAAGGCACTATTATTGAAAGTATTTAGATGTAGACACACAGAATTTAAACAGAAACCCCAAACAGTGGAGAAGAGTTATGTCAATTGGACTTAAAGATCATTTTTAAATGTACCCCCAACCTTAACTTTAAGTTTTCAGGATTTTATTCTTTTAAGCCTTGAAAAGCAGCTGCAACGTGCATAATAGACTGACGGCCTACTGGCTCACTCCTTAATGAAAAGCTCACAAGCAATAAATTAAATAACCAAAAAAAAAAAAAAAAAAAAGTAGGCAGCAGAAGGGAAAAACAGAAGCCTGGAAGATCAAAATTGGACAAGGAGAACCTGAATAACCTTAAGCTGGCTTTATGCTGGCACGCACTCTGGAAAAGACTGCTGAAGAGCAGAGTCTAAGCTTTGGCAATCTAATAATGCTAACTAGTGCTGCTCGGAGACACGAAGGAAGAATTAACTTCATCAAATCACGTGGAAAGCTGAGTATTTTTTTTTTAAGTGCTCATTTACAATTTAATAGAGACATCTCCAGATTTAGGATCAGGTGGCATTTTAAGCACAAAATTGGATAACAGTGGGGGGAAAACGGAAAACTGAATTTAAATTGGGAAATAATGCATTAAACATTTTTAAATATAAAGAAGTTTTCATAATTTATTCAAAATCCACTTAAAACAAAAGTGTTCACTTTTCAACCCTAGTGAAATCTGAAATTTCTACAAAATCAAATTTCAGATCTGTGGGTAACCAGGGGATGGGATATTCATGACTGAAATTTATCTTTATTTATAACTTATAATCAATAATCATAGACTATATGAAATTTATGTGAAGAATACAAATATTTATTTTGCTTACAATAAAAGGAATATTTTACCAACCACAGCACATCATTCTTGAAGATATAACTTAAGAGAATTAGGGCTAAATGACAAACTTAAGAACTGCACTAATAAAACCTTGTCACTCTAGTTTATACAAATTAATTGTAGTTCAGAAAAAGATACAAGCTAGCTGAAGACATGTCAAATATTCTCAGATTATGCAAGTAGAATCTGTTTTGAAATATTTAAAATACATTTGTACTTGAAATAATTTTCTTACCACATCTAAAGATAAAGGCAACTCCTCTAATTGTGTCATTTTTATATATACATAAAACCTAACACTTTTTGCAGAGAACTATTCAGAACTACGTAAATTTAGACACATATTTCATTTACACCAATACCATGTAAATGCCCGTCTAATAGTTAGACATATTGATATATGTATAAAAAATGAAGTAGATAGGTTACAAACAAATGCCTTTCGTTTCATTTATGTCATTTCAAATAATGCTACCTATATTTATAATTAATAGCCATGGGGCTTACAGCCACTTGGGTCTTTTTAGTTTCAGTAAAAATTATTTTTTTAAAGGTAGTCTTTTCACATAACAGTAAGCAAGCATCTTTATTTGGCTTAGTGACATGTACCACAAAAATGTAAAATATGAAAATGTGTCATATGTAGAGGGGAAGATGGCAAGCTTTCAGCGACAGCCTGTGGAGTGACAGTTCTGAAATAATCGGCGTCTCTGTATTCAGTCAGTCCATCTGAGAGTGTACAGTGATAAACATTTGATGCCCTAGAAAATATTCCTACAGTCTTTTATATACCCCTCCATTCATTACTCAGGATATCCATTTCTAAAACTAAGTAGTATGAGAGAAAAGAATGCTTGTATTGATTTATGGCTGAAAGAAATAAAAGGTATAGAAACTTTTTGGAAAATGTATCAATAAAAATCTGCCATGAGGTAGCTAACCCAGACCCCTGGCTCCTGTGCATCCAAAATCTTTCAACTGCTCTAAATTTACACACCAATTCCCTTGGGTGGAAGACGTCTTCCTGACGAAAGATCAGAAGGCTCACAGTTCCTTCCATCTTGGTGCTTCTCAACAGGGAAACGACTTCCTCTTGAGATTTGCCTGCTAAATCTACTCCATTTACCTAAAACAAATAAAAGGTTTTCAGTTGCAACCCTGGGCAAACAAGTAAGAAGAAAAGGCACACATTCTAGGACTGACCCTATCTGCTTTGGAACATAACTCATTTCATGCAAATGTCTGCCATGACCTGGTAACCTCTAAGGTTTTGTGACTAATAAAGAAAATCAGACCAGATCTTAGAAGCAAGAGAGGAAGTGGGCAATCTTTTAGTGTTCATCAATAAACCAAAAGCAGCAACCACCAGAGCATTAACAAGTAACAAACAAATATTTTTTAAAATGTCAAGTTAACACAAAACGTATGGGCTTTGAACCGAGATTTTTTGATGGCCATGTATCTCATTGGTTTTCTTCTATCAAAATAAAAAGGTAGTGCTCTTATAAAGGGTAATAAAAACACACCAGACCTATTTAGTTATAAATATTTTAATTTTCAATAAAAATTTGCTGACAAATATGAAGAAAAAATTTTTATCCTTAAAAGTAGACCTCAAGAAAACATCACTACAAACTAATGATAACATTTTTGGAAGGAACAATATTTCACCTCAAGTTTTTTTAATATTATAAGAGAATTCAAACAGGGAAAAGATTTAAAACAAACTATTCTTAGAGAATCTCATTATTTTAACTCACAGGAAGTATAACATCATTTTCGGAAAGCACTATATGTTTAACAGAAATGAGAACATATGTTTCTTTTAAAAAGTTATTCCATATTATTCTCTTTTGACAAAAATGGCAATCTGTCCAAGGCAAATAAGTTTATTACTTAAATTGTTACATCAAAATTTTTCTGTAGTTAAAATATGTTTTAAAACCCTTTCCCTTCTGTTAAACAATGTTATGCAGCTCAAAGTACTACTATTAAGAGCTTGCAGGAAATAGGTAATACAAGTTCAAAGATGGTGAAAAATTCTAGACAATGAAGAAAAAAAGTTAGTCACCTGACACTTTTCTTTTTGTATGATTCCAAGTATCCAGACACCCAGAAACACTGCCCATGGAATTGTTGATATTGACTATTACAACTGCAGAAGGTTGGCTTTAAAGCATGCAAAAGTAAAGTTTCAATGTTAAGACAAAGCTGACGGCTATAGAAAATAAAGCCCAATTCTGAAGACATACAGGTTGCAGGCCATTCCCACTGCTCAAAAGGAAAAAGGTTTTTGTGATACGTTGAAAGCAAAGCAATTATGTGAAGAATGAAAAAGTAAAGCAAAAATAAGGTGCTTTTCTTTAGAAAGAAAAAGGGCAGGAAGGTGGAGAGGGGGGAGGGAAGGAAAGAGGAGAAAAACAACTTTTTTTTTTTTTACTTACAAGCAAGGAGGACTGGATTCAAGTCCCAGCTGAAGCTCTTACTAAATTAAAGAATCCTGGACTAATATTACTCCATTAATACCCCATGGACAAGTGACCCTTCTGAAAGCAACACCCTAAACATAACTTGTACTCCAATATTTTCTGTTATTATCGTTACTCTTTTAAAAATGTTGTCATACATCAGATAACATGGAAAGTGTAAAATAGAAATATATTGCTTTGTGATACCTACTTCTGCTAAAACATAATTTAATTTCATTTTTTATGAAAATGTTTTTAAAAATTGTTTCTTGGAAACAGAACGTTTCAAGAATTATGAAACATCTTATTTCAGAAGTTACTCACCTCTATAAGTCTGTCTCCCGCCTTAAGTCGGCCATCTTGAATGGCAGCCCCTCTTGGGAGGATGTTTTTCACATAAATTGGAGCTGAGCCCCCTATTGTTACATCTCGGGAAGTGATGCTGAATCCTAAACCTTCTGTACCTGAGGTTAAAAGAAAAAACAAAAAAAGTAAATAAAATGAGATCTCTTCAAATTTGTGGATGTATCATGCATAAAGAATGTGTTACAATTCTCTCACGCAACTTGACATTTTATAACTTTCATAATGGCCCATGTTTCTTCTGATACTTTAAAAGTTGTAATAAATTTTTCAAAATAGACTAAATTATGGAAGTTTTAAATGGATTATATATGAAAAGTCATTAATCTAAGAAGAAATGGCAATCTTTTCAAAAGCAGATGAGAGTTGATATATAAATATGCCTGCTAAAAGTTTTTAAATCAATCTAAGTCTTTGAGTATAAAATTCACTGCATGAAGAAAGAAAAAACTCACCGCAAAACTTGAAGTATCACTGTACAATAATGATATCCAAATGTGAAGGGTAGGAGGAGGGAGCAAGGGAGGAAAAAATACTCAGGGAGATAGAAAAGGAATAGTAAAAGAAGAAATATTTCTAGAAACAATAATGAACCTCCCAAAGCCATACATATTCACAGAAATTTACTAAGGCAATAAACTACATTATCTTTCCCTAGTTCTCTTTTAATTTACCTAAATCTTACCATATATATTTCCTTTTTAAAATTTAAAAAAAATTTTTTAAATAAGGCTACTTACTTAATGAAGAATCCATCTCAGATCATGGCCACCATATCTGAGGAGCCTCATATTATGTTTAAAAGTCAGCATTAATGAGGCATTTAAAAATTACTCTGCTGATTTACAAAAGTTAAATATTCACCTGCACATGTATGTTTATCGCAGCATTGTTCACCGTAGCAAGAACATTGAACCAACCACGCTGCCCATCAAAAGAAGACTAGATTTTAAAAATGTGGTACATATACACGATGGAATATTATGCAGCCATAAAGAAGGACAAAATTATGAATTTCACAACAACCTGGATGGACATAGAGTCTATAATACTGAGTGATGTATTACAGAAACAAAGAACTGATTATCACATGTTCTCATTCATAAGTGAACTTTGAACAATTATAGTAATACCATAAGAAGAGGATTGGCAGTAGCAGGAAACTGCTGGTTGTGGGGGAGGCGATATTGGCAGTAGTGAGAATCTGCCAGGGGAGGGAGGGCACACCTTATCAACAAGGGTACCTGCATAACCAACATTTGTATACCTAACCCCGAATTGGATCCCACATCGTTAAAATAAAAAAATCGAAAGAGGAAAAAAAATTTTAATGTTCAGTTCTTTGGCAGTTTTTTTGACAGGTAGTCTTGTAAGCTCAATAGAATATAAAAAGAGGGTTATATGTCACTAGAATCAGCATGCAATAAACCAAAATATGTCCAAGAAAAAAATGTGAACATAATGACAGGCTTCTAATGAAACATAGCATTTATATAACACTTGTAATAATGATTAATGTCTACCTAAGCTTTTTAAAAGAGGTTATTTCTTAAGATATTAGGCTTCATTTCAGTTAAAATAGTATTAAAGCAAACACTGAGTCATTATGGGAAGAATATAGAAATCTGAAAGGTAAAAAATGTAGAAAAGAATAAATTAATTTCATGCAGCACTCATTACAAAACTATAATGAAAAGTATAAAATATAAGTGAACAAAAAATATAGGTGAATAAAAATGTGGGTTAAAGAAACACAAAGCAGAAATGAAGAAAACACTCCATAATTGTATCTGTAACAAAATCTAGCATAAATATTCTCAATATCATGCAAAACGTGCATTTACTTCTAGTCTAAAATCACTTTTATGTGCCTGGACTGTTAATTTCTTAAGTCTTCTATGCAGAAGTCTTGAATGGCATATTGTCTATATAAAATATTCCTAATTATTCTGCTGGGACTTTTCCATATGTCTCTGTGCTTTCATGGAACTCTAATGACTTGTAATAACATTTATTAAGAAAGAATTTTTAATTATTCTTCATTTGCAATATTAATTTGTATGAACTACAAACACTGACTGTTATAGGAGCCTCAATATTATTAAAATATCAGCAAGAACCCCTAAATCTGTAAGCCAAAGGTTCAGACAGTGACCTTTAAAAGAAAGACAAATAGATATCAATTTTCATTTAACAAAGCCAACAAAACATTTTGCACTGACTGAAACAGATTACTGACCTTCTCCTCTGGCTTTATTAAAAAGCTAATTTCTACAAAAGTGCAGGGTACTTAAGAATGCCAAAATGGCAATAAATATTAAGAAATCATAATGATGGAAGCAAGTACAGTGGGGCTATTCTATTTTGTCATGTTATATGACAGAGATCTAAAATTATAACTAAGAATCATTATCTTGAAGGTTTCTCTTGAGTATTAAGAGTTGATCCCAGTTTTGGAAGAATTGCTGTCACTCAAAGCACATTACTTCATTTAGGACTGAATTTAAAGTTTAACTCTGACATACTCTATGTTTTTAATGTACTTCATTTAAAAACCCTAACTGTGACAATAATTGATTAAAAATATTATCTAGTAGCTTCAGTGAAAACTTTTTAAGTCTCATCCAAACATTATTATTAAAATATATTTTCTCTTAATCAAAGATAAACAGCATTCTTCTTCACACTTATTTATAGTAAACACAATTTATTTTTTATAAAAAATACTTGTAAGTATTGGTAACATGTACCAGCAGTATGCACTTTTTATCATACATTGTCACACCTAGTAAATTAAAATCAACACAGATCTGTGGAACTCTGTATCTTTTAGATTATTCAAGGTCAGAACAATATTTGACAGAAGACCATTGATTTCAATTTCTTACAGTGATTAAACACAGTCTTTTTAAATTTGCTTGTGTAAAAGCAAGCATATTTTCCTAAATACCAATAATTTCTGATTCAAAAAAATGGTTCTTTAAATGGATAATAATATTTCACTTAATTTTAAAAGTTCATATATATCACAATGTTCTATATACTAATTGTATGAAGAACTGTAATTAACTAAATAAATATCCTTGTATCAGTGGAAAAGGGAGAAGATATTCACAAACTATTATCTCTGTGATATGACCAAGCAAAGTATTGTACCTATATTGAGAGATCCCAGGCAGAATTTTATTTTTTATACAACTTTACTTGTAGTTCTTGATATGCTTTTGGGTAAAATCAAGGTCCTGTCATTTGAGTAAAGTAAAAGGAGGAAAGAGGATTTACTATCTCCCTCATCTAGGAACTGACAGAGCTAAAGGGATTTCTGCTGATGTGCCTCTGTGTTTGCAAGGAGGCAAGCTGTCAACTCCTGATCATGTCAACCAAGTATTTGGAGCTTAAAAGCCAGTAACCAGAAATAAGGAGCTTGTGGTTCACATAAAGTTCAGTGAAAAAGTATGATTTAGAAAGGAAACAGTCTCAGCATTTACAACCTTGTAAACGTTACCCCAAATGGAAAGAAGGATGGTCTGAATATCAGGACATGGAAAGCATGCTAGTCAGAATCTGCTGCCAACAGCCATGTGACATGAAGAAATAACAAATTTCTCTTAGATTCATTTCCATCCAACTGCAGGAGTTGGTTGAGATCATAGAAGAGAAATTTCCTTTATAATGATGCCATTTTTAAAGACGATGTAAAAATATATCAAAATGTTCAGTCAAAATAGATGATGAACAGGAAAGTGTATCTCAGTGACTGGAGGGAACATGGGCTGAAAATTCAGTTTGCTCTTAGCCATGGAGGAGGAATCCTGAAAAAGTGTGCTCCCTAGACACATAGGTCCCCTGTCAACAGGAAGGGGATACTTAAAGAAACAGATGGATCCAAGGTGATGGAGAATGAGCCATCCCCACCATGACTTCCCATGCGACCTTAAGAAAGGGAAGCAATCAAGTATTATGAAGAAGCAAGAAACAGACAGATACCAATGACCTGGTTTCTCAACAACCTGCCGTGAACTACTGACATCTTCACACAGTAGGTCACTCCCCGTCATCAGAACACTAGGGTTCAAGTGGAAGACACCTGAAGTCTGCTTAAAGGGCTATATTTGAACAGCAAGTTGGTCAATCAAAAAAGTCAAGTCCTCACTACTATTTTGGGCTTGACAACAATGTCCTGAAACCATTTTCATTCATTATCAAAAATTTTACTACAGTAGTACCTGCTACCTTCTTCTCATAGACTTACAGTTTAAAGTGTTTTTCTCTGAACTTTTATATCTTAATTTCTACATAGAAAAATGTATATGAAAAGCATTTAAAAGCACAATTTTAAAGATGTTAAAAAGCAAATAACTTTTTTAAAAAATAAGTATTTTTGTCAGTTCCTTCACATAATAATGGAATAAAACTCAGGGTGCTTGCGGGAGTGAGCTGACTTAAAGCACATTCCATAAAACAGAAATAAGAGAGGTCATACCTTTCCTAAGCTGGATATTAAGCCTCTTGCCTATTTTTTTGGTGTTATAACCACTGCTTACATTCGTACTAAATACATTCTGAGGTGCTGGGGCCGGAGCTGCTGGCGGTTTTCCGGAGGGGTGTGTACTGTGAGGTAGTCGTGGGTGAGAGTCTATCTGCTCGGGTGGGTAGTTCAGTCTGGGTGGTCTCTGCCCTGCGTGGAGCCCTGTGCTGTTCACACTCTTGCTGTCAATATACTGGCTGTCAGTGTTGAAGCGGCTTGAATAGTAATTGTTCTTCTCGCTTTGGGATAGTTGTTCATACTGCTCTTTATTTGCCGCCGGAACCACATGGAACCACATGATGGGTGTACGCATGGCTTGGCGAAACATATGTTGTGCTCTGGGTTTGAGAAAGAAAGAAAAATTAGCAAATGAAGACTGGCAGACTAGAAGATATTATGAGCTTAATTAAGTATACTAATTAAGCAATAAGAACTGACAGACTGTTGAAACTGAAAAGCAAAACTCTAATAACCCATTTATCAATCAAGTTTGCAAGCTCTGATATGTAATCATAGCCATTTCTCCAAATATAAATTTCTCCTTCATTCAATAAAAATAGCAAAGTTATCTACAACTACAAATTACTGTGCTCTCAACTGGAAGTCATTAAACAACAGTTTTAAGCACAACAGGGGCATTATAATTTCAATAGTAATAGAAACCAAATGTAACATCCTCTGTACAACATTGTCTAATACAACTTGCAAACATTATCAAACAGTTCCTTACAAAGGGACCATTTAAGTTTTTAAATAAATACATACCTTTACAAATATACTTAGAAAGCTACAGAAAGCAACTAACCATTCATAACTTATTAATTCAAGTCAGTGTATGCAAAAATCTCAAGAACACAAATCCAGCCTCTGTAATTCTCAATGCTAACAGTCGTGGCTTCCAGTGCTATCACAGTAACCAGCCTACCAGCCTAAGAGGATCCTCCCTCTCATGCTGGTTCACCAGTCAGGTCTCACCCCAAGTTCTTACAAGATTGGCTTACTCTCACCTTGTTTTATAGGACATGGCCAACTTTTTTTTCATTGAATAAGAACTGGAATCAGAAGAAAGAAAATCTGAATCTGATGCAATATTATAGTTCAAAGGAGCTTTTTTCTACTTAAATGTACAGAGAGATTTATGTACAACAAAGTTGGAAATGTCAGAGTATGTTTGTTTTTTTTTTTAATGAGGCCACTGGTCAATTTTTTAAAAGGTGAGGAAGTAGCAAAACTGTAAAGCCAAAATTGGGCCCATAATATTTTAAGAGCTGTAACAGGTAGAAGGCATTTTGAAATACAGCTTAATGGTAGTAATAACATTGAGTTTCACTGAATTTTTTAAAGCTAGACAATGGCAGAAGACACTCCTCTCCAGTGTACACCCCAGGATCACAGATGTGACATGTCTTTAATGGATTGAACTCTGCCACGCCAAAAGCATGGATGAACAGAAGCTCGGCAAGCACACTTACTGTTCAAATCTTCTATTTCGAAGGTCGCCATCATTAATCCTGACAATGCAATCGTTCTCATGAAAAAGCTTTTCTTGTTCAGCTTTCCCACCTTTCTCCAATCGTTTTACTAATAACCCCAAGGTTCTGGAACATTAAGAATGCAAATGATTACACATGTAATATTTCCACCACGCACACTGCCCTACCGTTTTAATGCTGGCATTACCAAGACTTCCTTATTAGAGGGATGTGTTAAGTCATTATTAATTCATTTTAAAAATAACACTCAGACCAAAATCCCAACAGTTTAAATGACGTGTAGAAATGGATCCTTTCCATAAATATAAGAAACCATTTTCTGGCTCGTTAGTATTAGGTTTCTGGAACAAACGACACAATTCTATATGTTTATAAATGTTCCAAACAGAGCTTGCCCACAGATTCTGTAGGTATTGTCATGTGGAGCATAGATGCACACGTATGTGGGAATGGCTTGAACACATTTCTGTTTTGCACCACCTGGTCCACTGCTGATTGCAACCAGGGCTTTCCCAAGAAAGCAAAGGAAACGCTAACCTTCCTGTATTGTAGGGTCACAAAAGATATTAGGAAATATTTCAGAAATAAAAGAACTTCGGAGCCTAGCCTTTGAATTTGGTAGTACCTAATATTCTGAATTTCAAAATGTGTTAGCTCTCCCAGAAGTAAGTAACTTATTGGCAGTATTGTGATTTGAAGAAAAGTAGGAGAAAGTCAGTGAGAAGTTCAAACAATGCTGTGCACTATCCTTCCCTTCCTTACATGCACTCACACTTCAGATTGAAAGAAAAGTTTCAATGAACTTTTGGAGACCCAGATGGAGAAAAAAGTAATGATTACTAGTGTACTTGCCCTAGAATACTAACTTCTTAACTGAGAGGATATTCTGTATATCCTGGGACAAATAGTAAACACTTTTTGAGATCACAGTGTAAGCAGCAGAAGTCGTTACCTAATTCTAAGTGCTATTATTTACTTGGTGGTTGGCAGAAATATTATATCATGATCATATTAAAACTTTTATGTAAACTTAGTTTTGGTACTTCCACAGTTTGCATTTTTCTTTCATAATCCTAATAAAGCGACCAAAAAAAGTCAATTAGAGATACTAAAATTGAGAATCCTGCATAAATTAAAATTGGGAACATCATAATTTCCAATAGTCTCTATATGTTTTCCAAGAGAATTACAACTTGCAGTATCTTATATATGTTTCTAGATGAAATATACCCAAATAGCTTCCTCTTCTAAACCTTTCCAGTAATTGTTGTATCTGTTTTATGGACATTTCTCATTCTTCGGGTATATGCTTACTTTATCTCTACTATTGTATTATAAGCTCCTAGAAGCCAGAAAAGATGAGATTCAGCAGCTCAAGTACTTAGCTACTAGTAAGGTCTTGATAAAAGACAACTGAATGAATGGATGATTGAGTTTAGCTAAGGCAAACACATTTTCTATTTCAAATAAACTTTTTGCAAAATAGAATACAAATGAATAAAATTTAGATTCAGATAGTTTTTTATGAAGGTTTCATTTATACTAAATATATGATTAAACCAAATGAATGATATTGAAGCAAAGTACCTATTTTACTTGTTAACTTGCAGTTTAACTTCTCTTAGCTCAAAGGCAAGAATAAAGTACATTGATTTAGCTGCATGAGCAATTTAACTGTCTCTGTCCACATTTGGAAGAAAGAGATTTCTTAATATGCCACCCAATAATTGAGTTATTATTTAAATATGATCATGTCCACAATGTATCTCCCTAGACTTCTCTATTGTTTACATTTGTTTCGATGTGCAACAGAACAAAGTATTCTATGAGAGGATTCAAAGAAATTGAGATATATCTATGATTCTGACAAACGGAAAAGATTAATGTGGGAAACCAGATTAAATCACAGTTATACCACTGGAACTTGGAGAAGATATTTGGCCACTTCACCTTCAAAGTAGGCACAAAAAAACCATTTGAAGGAAAAGACATAGGCCAGGCATGTTGGCTCAAGCCTGTAATCCCAGCAATTTGGGAGGCCAAGGTGAGTGGATTGCCTGAGGCCACAGGTTCGAGAACAGCCTGGACAATGTGGGGAGACCTCATCTCTACAATAAATTTTTTTTTTTTAATTTTTTTTTGAGTTGGGGTTTCACTCTGTCACCCAGGCTGGATTAGCCAGGCATGGTAGCGTGTGCCTGTAGTTCTGGCTACTTGGAAGACTGAGACGGAAGAATCATCTGAGCCCAGCAGATCAACACTGGGGTGGCCGTGAGCGTGCCACTACACTCCAGCCTGGGCGATGAGGTGAGACTTCAACTCAAAAAAAAAAAAAAAAAAGATATCCCAGTCACTAAGTCACTCAGAGGTAACCATAATAGAACCACATGTAGAGTGGCACACCTGTGCTAAAATCACCTCTATAAGGCAAGAACACCTTTTTAAAGTACATGCATCCAGTCCTTGCAATAAAAAATATCCTACCAAGACTTACTCCAGTTAGTTTTTAGTGAATTCATAAGCTATTTCTCAATATGGTTATAACTTTTCTGCAGCCTAAAGTGATTAATAATTAGTATGTTTTCACATATTCTGAAAGAATCTAGCCAGGCTCGGTGGCTCAGCCTGTAATTCCACACCTTGGGAGGCTGAGGTGAGTGGATTGCCTGAGCCCACTTCGAGACCCTCCTGGGCAACTTGGTGAGACCTCATCTCTACAACAAATCAAAAATTAGCTGGGCGTGGTAGCACGCGCCTGTAGTTCCAGCTACTGGAAGGCTGAGGCGGAAGGATTGCTGGAGCCCAGCAGGTCGAGGCTGCAGTGGCCGGGAGCAGCCACTGCACTCCAGTCTGGGCGACAGAGTGAGACCCCAACTCAAAAAAAAAAAAGAATCTGTATAATCTAAAACAGATCATTTTTAGAAAAATATATAGAGACTATATTTACGGATTTACTTAGCACTTAATTGGAATGGATCATTTGTTCAAACTTATACATTTATCTTTAATAGACCTTTCAGTATTTCTTACAGTTTAAAATTGTTTAACTTAAAAACTGCTCTTAAATTCTACAAGCGATATCAATACTTTCATCAGACAAATAGGTGAAGGGATTTATATTCACTTCATCTTTTTTCTTTTTTAAACCTGCTTTCTCTGTTTTAGTAATCATTCTAAAATCATCACCCAAAAGAGAAAAGCAAGCCACATTTCATTAATTGAATGCTTGTCTTTCTGAATAAGTCTTCATCTATGGCCAAATGCATCACTAATTCTAACATACAGTAAAAATGTTATAAGTCATAAATAAATATACTATCACTTTTACCAGAAATATAATGGAAGTGTATTCACTGAGGCTTCAGCAGCCAACATTTTTAACAATAGTCAAGAAAATTCAGAATCCTTTTACTCAGTACTAGAGACTTGATGGGGCTTGGAGGTAAGGGCAGAAGAAGAAAGCTTCACTCTGACTGACACAGCAAGTGATCAGGGAATCAAGGGAACAGACTGAATTAAGGTGAAGTTAGTAGCCTGCTGATTTCTAAGTACTTAACCACACTATTAGAATCATTCACTCAAAAAGAATGGATTAATTTAAAAGTAAAGTGGTACAATCTACAAAATTATCTCATTTGCTCCACTAGGTGAAAATGATTACAAAAGAAATGGGAATGAACTATCAAAAAAAAAAAAAAAAAACTTCACAAGAAAATTGAACCAGTAGCAGAGAGACTGAGAATGAAAAGAACTGAAGAAAACCAACGGGAAGCAGTAGCAACACACACCTTCATCTTCCTGAAAACTGTAAGCAGATATATTTCCATGACTCCCATTTTCAATTTAAAGCTATAGCAAATCGTATAATTAAAAACAAACTTTAGGGATATATTTTGCAAACTCAAGCAGCAATGAGAATTTGATCTGAAGTAATAAAGAATCAACTACCTATGGTGTCGGGGCTCCTGCATCACTTTTTCTAGAGAAAGTAATTAAAGCTAATGAAGTTCTGAACATGTTGGCATGTCAGCGTGCTGGTTCAGAGAACACTTTTTCTTTTTGTTTGCAAGTACCAACATTCATTATTGGGGCAACCATGTTACATCAGAAGAGGAAACCACTTTGCAAGAAATAAGAAGGGAAGAGAAAGGGAAGGAAGAGCCAGGGTGAGGACTACTCAGGGAATTAGCGTAGGAGCAAAACTACCCCCTACCAGCTGTGCTAAGAGAAAAGACTTGATGTATTTATTAATGGGACAGGCAGATATTTAAAGAATTGACCGTAAAGTTTAGAGTTATAGGAAACAGAACTTCCTCTTCCTCCCTTATGAATCCAATATAAACCCTACTTGGTTCTTATGCTTTTCAAGCAAATAAATTTTTTTCTGTTCATTCTGAAACATCCCCAAAACTACTCCTCTTCCATCGTTTCTCTATTTTTAAAGATGTGCACCAAAATATTGTGTCAATTGTATGCAAATCTCAGTTCTGGACAACTTTCCTTAAAAAAACTATAAAGAATCGACTACTTACAGTGTTGGGGCTCCTGTATCACTTTTTCTAGAGAATGTAATTAAAGCTAATGAAGTTCTGAATATGTTGGCATGTCAGTATGCTGGTTCAGAGAACATTTTTTATGCTATTACATATATATTTCTTTCAGGATTCTCCTTGTAGTTTTTGAACAATATTTTTTTAAAGGGTTAGGGAAAAGGAGGATACAGTGGCAGAAAGCAAGCCATTGAAATGCTGCATCTTTCTACATGATTTTGGATGCATAATTAGAAATTTAACTGCTTGGATTATATTAAGGATTGCACCACTACATTTTCACAAGGTTCATTAGCCTAATTATACACTTAATTAAAACAAACTCAGTCACACATGTTAACATTTTCAATTCTAAGTATAAATTACTACCAATGATAAAACTGAAAATAACTAACAAATGTTTTATTGACATCAAAATTGACTGGGTTAGTCTGAGTTTTGTTTTGATAATATAAAATACCACAACTTCCACCCAGCTATACGGAAATGATCATAATTCATCCTAATAAAAGCTGACATACTGTAAACACCACAACTATAGGGAAGGCAGAGTAT